GGAAATGGCCTTGACATGATCTGCCGGAAGTTCTTTGCCAGCTGATCGCCAAAGAAGCTTCAACCTGGGGGAAAGCAGACACCTGCCCTTGAGACAACATGGCTGTGCAAAGGCGCCTTGAGGTCAAAAGTTGTGAAAGCAATCCATGCTGCCAGCCACATGCGCACTCCCTGAAGCAGCTTAGACTGGAAGGCCAAATTATTCATAACATACCGCGGGCCCAGAAACCAGATACTCATATCGACGACAAACAATACAAATTATCTTGGCGGAATACCAAACAAACAAGCAAACCAACAGCAAGTCTTGGAAGATGTCCAATGGCTACGGGCAATTTACCTTCAAATTGACTTGGAATCCGTTTTCAAGGCTCACGTCAGAAGATTGGCCTGGCGACCAGAAGCGAGGGCCTGAGGCCCTCGCACGATGCTGATGCGATCCGCAGAGCCCGGCACCACCATGGCTTCACCAGTGATCCTCTCCCGAGAGAAACTTGGAACCCAAAAGCGCGTCATAGTTGGGTGTGTCTCAAAAATAGGGAACCCCACGTTGCTGGTTTTTTGGGCTCCATGAGAAATTGCAGGGGAGCGTGGTAGGGCACGAGTCTTTTCCGGCCCGACGCCTGGTCATCACTGGGCATTGCACCTAGCTCAGATCCTATCCCTGCTAGGGTGCGAATCTAACGGTTTATGGGTTCCAAGGAGCAAAAACGTGGAAAAAAACAAATATTCTCAGAAATCGTTGGATCACTAAAACCTTCCAAGTAGTGTGATGGAGTTCCGGAATAATCCTGCAATTATCCGGTCAACTCTGAAAGCAGAACCTGCGCGGACCCCTCGTTGAAGGGGGCCCCTTTTTCCCCTCCTACACCAAGAAAGCGCAGATGGACAAGCATCAAAGGAGTGGTGGTGGCGCAAAACAGCGCAAACTCACAAGCTGGATCCAATGATGTTTCACGCTTCTCTGTCAAAGTGGAATTTTCTTTGGAACCTGCCTCTTTCGGACGCAAACCAACTTTCATTGAGCAACCCGTGCAGTACAAGGATCAGCTTTACGGTATCCATCATAGAATGACACTTCCATCTCTTGCCATCCATGGCCGCCGGAGCTTTTTGGTTTGGCCCGGCCTGGTTTGCAACTTGATGGCAGGGTCGCTCAGGCGCATGATGCCCAGGGCTTCGGTCACTTGCCTGTCCTTGGCCTATGCGCTGTCACGAGCTCCAGCAATCGACAAGGGCTTTGCTGAGATTTGGTCGACACGAGTCAACTGCGCCTTTCAGGGGAACATTAAACACAAACAGGAGATGTGCCCAAAGTGGTGAACAAATGAAGATCAAATGAAGAACGCCTGCCTGCGCGATCACCAATGCAAGGCGAACGTTGCCGAACTTGCTCCAAGCAGGCAAATGCAGGGCAATTTGCTGCAAAGCAGTTCAGGCACTTCCCAGATCTTCCACGCACGCATCGCACACTCAGCTTGCCTGAAGTCGTGCCGCAGATGGGAAGCGGCTCTGAGGATGGTCCAGGAACTCAGCAAAAGCGAGCGGACGACCGAATGGCCAAAGTGCAATGCTTCTTCCAGGGGTTTGCCAAGTCAAACGCACAGCAGCTGCAACAGTGGCTAAAGACACCCCTTGTGCAAATGATATGCATCTTTGACACGTGTCGGGCGCACAGGTGAGGAATCCAGAGTGGAGACCATGCACATTTCAGGAAGCCAAAATGGCTTGCCTTTCGATCTGCGCTCAGCTCACTGCGCGTTGCTAAGGTCTTGGCCCCAAGCAATTGAAGACCCTGTGCCGGAGTCAGCATGGCTGCTTTGGTGGCATCGTCATTCAGGACGGGCAGCACCTGGGTTCACCGCGCAAGTTTGAGGTGATCCGCGTTGAAAGATCGGCGGGTGCCCTGAAAGCTGCAGGACCCCTTCACTGCGCGCTGCAAAACATCGTCTGGTTTATACAACACAATGATCAAACAGGCGTGTGTATTGTGTGCCCTTTCCCTAGTAAGTGGACCCAATTGATAAAATCATCTTTCTTAGACCTCCTGTGAAAGCATAAAACCCTCGTTGATCATACGACATCAGACAAAACGAAAACCTAAAGGGGGCAGAGCGTGTCGTCCATGAATAGGTCAATGGCGGCCGTTTCGTTCCATGAAGGCTGAGCCATGCCACGCCGCCCGGCCCTGGAGCATAGGCGGACCTCGGCAACTGGAAGGGAAAGCAAGAGGCCTAGCACGGTTTTGGCGTGCGAGAAGTAGGGAATGTGAAATGGAATGAAGCCAGGGGTTGCGGTCGTTTTCGAGGAAACAAAAGGAAACCCACACATTTTGAGACAAACCCAAATGGCTTGCTGGTGCGATAACTAGGGAATGTGGTGGAATGAACCGTTCCGGGATTCCCGAATAAAGGACACCACCAGTTGGATGGTTTTTCTTGGGGTCATTCCCTTTCTTCCCTGCATCTCTCGCACCAAGTGAATGTTGGAGGCTTACCGGCTTTGGAGTCGGAAGTCAGATGCGTCAAGTCCGCTGCTTGAAGCTCAAACCATGAGACCTTGCGGTCTTTCGTCTGGGAGGGCGACCTTCGCCAAACGCGCTGACCCCTTCTACATGCAAAGCTGCCGTGCTAAACTTCTGCATGCGAAAGCGCCACTCGCCGAGGCTGCAGCAGCCAGCGTGATGGAAACCGCCCCTTGCCCAAGCCTGACACACTTTGGAACCCCCAGCTCAAGCCAAACCGTCCTCGGACCTGCGCCGTGCGGAACCGCAATTCGTGGCTCAAGGCAGAAGCATCGCCTTCCTAACAGGGATCCTTACTGAACATTGCCTGGTAAATGGTGGTTTCCCTTTATTTTGGTAGAGAAAGCAACATGTTTCAAATGGGCAAAATGTATCTTTTAAGGAGCCCTAGCCTAAGCGTAGCCGCAACGCAGCCCCAGCCGCCAGCCTGGGCCCTCTTTGCAGAAGAGCTTCAGCTGCGGCATCAGCTGCTTCATGGCCTGGGCAACTGCCCAAACCTACCTCAGCTTTTGCCCGGCTGAAGGTGACGTAGAGTTGACATGTTCAGATTCTGGTGCATATGGCCATGGGTCAAAATCCAAATCGTACCCCAATCCCCACTAAAATAGACTAAAATGGGTGGTGCACCTACCCCAAAATGGTACCATTGGTTTTCACCCACAGCCATATTTGAACCTTACACAGCACATCATCTCAAAAACGGCCGGAAAGCCGTTGTACCGTTTTGGACTCACATTCGGCCGTGCCTGCGGCGGCGGCAAACCCTTCTTCTTCGCCTGCAAGGTAAAACCACGCTTGGAAAACAAGTCCTGCTTGACAAGACCACCATACCCATACCGTCAACAGCGGGAATTCCAATGCCTGGTACCTGGGGGGCGGACATAGTTGACATGCTTTGCATTTCTGAAAGGAAGGCTGCTAAAGGTCACATGCGTCAAAAGTTGTTTTATATTTATCGTTATTATGTTGACTTGCGCACTCGATCTGCTAACTCGCTCTCCAAATGAGGTCGTGAACGTAAAAATAAACATAGTTCGAATGTGCCTCTCCCAACTAAATAGGCTCAGATCAAAGCAAGCGGCTGCAAGACCCGGCCTCTGCTGCAATGCTGGCCAACCTTGGATGTTCAAGAGCAAGCTGCAAGCCAAACGATTTGCAGATCATTCAGGAAATTTGGTTGACAGAAGATGCCTCAACACACCAAGTACCAATATCAACCCCGACTGGTATAGTCAGTTGTCACGATCATGCCTTCTGGTTCTGTTCATAGATGTCCTTTTAGGGGAAATAGATGGGTTTCCCTGGTAGATGATTAAACCACCCGGTTTTGTCTAGCAAAACAACCAAAAAGGACACCCGTGCTTCTGTTTCCTTCCGTGAAAAAGCACGTTGTTCCGTCACCATTTCCGCTGCTCCCGTTCTCCGCGCGCCGTGCTTTTCGAGGCCGAGCGGCGCGTGGGTCAGCGCCGTCCGCAGCTCCTCGGAGAGGGTCTCGGGCTCTGCGGAGCAGCACCAGCAGACCAAGGCCTGCGCCCGCTTCCTCTCGGCGACATCCAAATGGACCCCCAAGAAAGGCTAGGAGGGGGGGCTCTCCCTTATTCAGCCCTTAAGGGCTTATCCTTGGGTTTTCCTGCGCTTATCCAGGGAGAGCCCCCCCCGCAGAGCCCCCCCGAAGATTCCATGACCAAACATCATCCCCCCGGTTTATACATGGAGGGCCCATTTTTTAGGGTGCCAATTTTTTGAGGGTGCCCATTTTATACATGTGGTGTTTGAGGGTCTTTGAACATGCTTCCTCTCTTGGCCCACTTGTCTTTTGCGGGCACCCCGCCAGAATCGACTCTGCCGTTGCTTCATATTTGGTCCGAAATCTCGTTCCTGAGGGGTTGGACACTTTGGACTTGGGCATCCAAACGGAACATACGCAGGTCACGGCAATCCTCTAGCCAGCTGCGCGAAAAAAAAAAATCGGGCGCTTCGCGGCGGAAGTGAGGCCCCCAGCCTTCATGCAGGCCTGGGCACGGGGGGCGACGTCTCGTATTCCGCGATGTGCCGATCCGGGCGTTGATTGGAAACACGAAGTTGGCTTTTTTGATCTTTTGTCTCAATTCAGTCTCATATTCAGTTTCATATACACTTTCATACGTATTGAGTCACGTTCGTTGCAACCATCCTGTGGGATTTTTGTCATTTGCATTCTCGCACCCGTGGGCAATTCTTTCCGAGCTTTGCCTCAAGCGCACTCTGGCCGGGCCATCGCGCTTTGCTGGGCCGCGTTGGTACCTCCACCAATGGCAGCACGTCCTCCACCACATCCCGCAGCGGCCAGTCCGAGCGGACGTCCACCAGCCATTTCCTCAGAGGCGGAATGCCGAGAAAGTCTCCCTGGCCACTTCTTCACTACCCAAACGTCCGACAATCCACGTTCTGCAGACAAGGGCATGCTAGTGTTGAGAAATGTGCACTAAGACTGCGGCGCATCCACCAGCGCTTTCACCTCCTCTAGCTCCTCTTGACTTCCACCTGGCATGAACTTATACAACGAGCCCTTTCCCCCATAGTTGCCAGCTTCCCTCCTCCCTCTCACCCACAAAACTTCCACAGTTTGTATTCCACCAAGCCGCGGGCAATTCACACGCACCATGTTCTCTTTACAAGGCACCTGCGAGCGAAGCCATGATTTCTGGATCTGCTTTGCCGCGGCGCCTGCTTGAAGCACCACCAGTCTGTCCGCAGTCAAGCGGTCTGCGCCGTCCAAAAGGCCGGCTGGGGCAGGGAAAACCTGCGGTACGGCAAATGTCTCGCAGGAGACTTGACCTATACACCTTGAGTCGGTTGAAGGCAAGCGTCTTACAATCTCCCCGGGCCAATTCCTTTTGGGATTCGGCAAAAAACAAATCATTGGTGTTGGGTCACTAGCTTTGTGTTGTGCCATTTTGAAAAGGCTCAAGACCCACCCTTGTCAAGCCTCCACGCACCAAATGAATGTGTGGCAACAGCAAACGCAAAGGACTTCTTCCTTTTTCTTGGGAGCATTATGACATAAACTGCCCTGCATGACTCTCCCAGACAGTTCTTGTAGTAGGGGTGCGGTGCCTCAATTCGCCACCTACTGTCCTCCCATCGACAATCAAGCAACTTTCTACTGACAATCCAGTCATCCCCGTCTTTCAAGCCGCCCTCTGTACGCATGAGCACACCAAGGGGAAACTCGCTTGAACTTAGCAACCAAAACAAAATGGGATGTTTAAAACCACAACAGAAGGGACATCAAAACAAATAAGGTCAATGTGAACCAATGAAAGGCCGTGTCAGTGAACAATCTGTTATTTGAAGGCAGGATCCCCTGTGCTTTTGATGGAAATCCAGACCAAACCAAAGCAAGTTAAATAGACACTCCCGGGCCCGGGCAGAAAAGGGGACCCCTTGTGCTAACAGCCAACAACCCACCCACCAAAAAGGGAAGCAGGGCAGCCAGCCCAGCCGATGCTAATTCCCACTATTAGTTCCTGAATTGGCTAGCAGTCATGAGCCCAGATAGTTCCAAACATCTCACTCCGGATCATTCATCGACCCGAGCACCCAGGTGTTCAATTTATTGAGCAATCTGCCTGCCTCGCGTCTGGGAGGACCAACTTTAAACCTTAAAAACGAAGAGAGATTCATAACAACACCTCCTGTAAACTCTGTTCCGAGGCCACGAAACATGAAGCGCAACTGTTTTCCTAGCCGAAAGCATGGAACACAGCAACATACCATGAAAGATAATCTTCAACCCGTAGGAACTTCCAGCCAACTGGAACCAACTGGGTCTGTCTTTTTTTGAGGGTACCGAACCTACCTTTTCTGTGGTCCCACCCTTTTCGCATGCAACCTGACAGGGACCCGGTCCCTTTGAAAGGAACATGGTCTCAACCAGGACCCCCGAACGTCAGGTTCCATGTGAAAAGGGTGGGAAGGTAAGACATGCTTCCGTGGTTTTCCGGGAAAACTGACAGGACAACCACAGCCTGATGGGTCCAAATCCAAAAAAAAGAGACACACCCAACTGGAAACCGGCCATGTTGGTTTACTTATTCTTTTTACCCTCAAGGAAGCTGTGCCATCTACTTGGAAATTCCCCCCTGGCAACCCGCAAACTGCCTGGAATCCGGAAAACTTGGAAACTGAACAGCCACCGAATCGCAAACTGCCTGGAATCCAAAACCCACCTGGAGAGTGGACACCCACCCACCCGGAAACCCACCAACGGCGACCCAAAAACCAACCTGGCAACCCGGAAACTCCGCCAACTTGGAAACCCCCAAACCCACCTGGCAACCCACCCGCCCCTTGGCCCAAAACCAACGACCCGAAAGCGGGGCCCCACCCACCCGGGCCCCGGGCCGGCAGCCGCCCGAGGCGCTTCAGCGTCCCCCGCTGCGCCGGCGTCAACGTCCCCAGCCGCTGGGCATTCGCCACGGCCCGCCACAGCGGCCCCGGGGGCTCACAGCCGGCCTCACAGCCGGCCGCACGCTGTACACTTACGCGGATATGGATATAAATATGAATATATATATATATATTATATGTGAATTGTTTATATAAATAAAAAATATACATATATATGTGTATGTATATATATGTATATATATATATGTATATATAAACACACACACACATACATACATATATATATATATATATACATATATATATATATGTATACATACATGTTCATATCTGTATGCACATACATATCCTCTCCATAAGCATGTACATATGCAGAGACAAATAAGTATGTGTATGCATATCCATAGGCATAGACATACACACAAACACAGACACATGCATATTTGTACACACACACACAAATACACATACAAATGCATATGCATGTGCATGTGCCAAGGCCACACCAAGCACAAGTATATTGAAGTCTCAATCGCTGCCCTGACAAACCGACAAGTCTTCGCCACTGCGTGGGCCTCTCCAAAACACTGAATTTCATGATGGAATCGTTTGAACTTTGAACATGTACCCAACGAAAAGGGCCTTTGGCTTGACACATCTTGTTTAACCACACCATGTGCGGTCGGGAGTTTCAGGGTTCAGTTTGGGTTTCCTGTCGCCAAGTGACAGGAGGAACGCCAATCTAGAGGGGAACATCTAATCGACCTTGTATTTTTGGGAATTTCAAAGGTCAGCTGCCGAACAAGTCCAGAATGCCGGGCAGGGCAATGTTAGCAAGAACGTGAGGATCCGAACACAAGAAAGCATGACGGGCGCCACGTTGCAGGTGTAAATGTGCCACGTTGCAAATGCCAGTTGAATCAAATCCGAATCCAAGCTGGAGCCGCTCGGAAGAATCTAAAGGCCCAACCACATACCCAAGGTACGTATGGGATGAGCTCTCCCAGGTTTGTGTTCATTTGGGGCGCCATTCCACTTCGGCAACCTTCGTATAGGGCAGCTGCAGGAAATGGTCGGTTGGGCTGTCGTTTGCCTAGGGTGGGTCTGCTTGGGCTTGGGACAAACAGAGCTGGGCAGGTCCAAAGTGGATTTGAGGCTGGGTTCAGGGTGGGCTTTAGGGATGGTTGAGGGGTTTGTCATTTTGGGGCGGTTGGCGGTTTAGTAGTGGTTCGTTGAAGTAGGTCTAGGGTCGGCGGTTGAACCTGTCTGTGCTCCAGCTCATGGAAAAGCAACCCAAGAGGAAACGCCATCCTCACACTTACAGCCGGGTCAAAATACATCATGCGTGTTGACGGGTACCTGTACTGGGCGCAAATATACCCCATGAGGTTGAGCAAAGGCTTGACCTGACCAGCATCCCGGCAATATGGCACGGTGCCTCTTTCCATGCTGCACAGCCCAAACATGCTCAAGCCACTATCATTCAAGCATCTGATTTGGATAACTTCATGGGGTAGTTGGGGGAAACCATGGTCTCTGGGGCCAGGCAAAAGTAGCAACATGCAACTTACTTAATCATGCTTGGTCGGGTGGTACGTGCGACCCTAAACATTGCAAGTAATTGGGGAAACAACACCCCGCAACTAAAGATGCTTTGCAGCTGGCTTACTTTCTGCGGCCCCACGGAATCAGTCATAGTTTGCATTTTGCAGGAGACCAACCATTCAACCAAGCATGAACATCTAATGTTGCACATGTGTTACTAACATGGGAATCCCGAAAGGGTCGTCCCCCCCCCTCCCCGCAGAACATCAAAAGAACAAACATAAAACGCAAAACACAGCAAATAGAGCAGGCACAAACGACAAGAAGAAGAAACAAACAACAAAAGTAACGAACCAATGACTAAATATAGACAACAAATATAAATTACAAACAACAGAGAGGACCTGGTTGGAGAGTACCAACCGGATCTCGTTTGAATGGCACATAGGCGGACATGACCCCAAAACAAGAGGGCTACAAGAGGGGAAACGAGAGGTGCTCTTGAAGACAAAAAACTGGCCCCGTAATCTTACCAATATGAAAGTCACCCCCCAATTTGACAGGATAAGGGGAACCACCCCGAGCTGATAACTTGGAGAATGCCCAAAAACAAACAACATAATGACCCCATTTATATGATTTAAAGGCACATTATGATTTACAGAACAGTATGTTAATCATGATTTATAGCACATTATTAAATTTGTTAATTTTGATCTATAGCACACTATGGTGTTGCGGAAGAATATGTGCGCTAAGTTGACACGCAACTTGGAGTGCTCAAGTTGCTAAGTGTGATTTGTGGCACAGTGTCAAATATGAACCAGGCGTACTACACTCCGTAACGGGCGATTCTGTGGTTCAACCCCAAACATCAACCTGGGGTGTGAATCCTTTTTCAGTTGGTGAGAGGCTGCCTTCAGCGTCCACAATGCACGGCTGTGGGTCTAAATGATATGTCGGACAAATGGTCAAAACCGGGGGCCCCAAAAGGGAACATGTTTTCTCAAAATAGACCCTGTCGCTTTCCCCCCCCCCCCAAAACAAAACAGCCCTTTTGACGGGGTATCTTAAAAGGACACCCATGTTCTTGCTGGTACGAGAGATGCAGGAAATGAGAAATGGGATGAACCTATCAAAAAACCATCCACCTGGTGGTTTTCTTTGTTCGGGGACAAAAGCCTGGGTTCATTCCCACATTTGCTGAGCACCAGCAAGTCATATCCACCCTAGCAATTGAATTCACTTCTCCAGACGTACCTTCCCCATTCTTTCCAGGGATCGATCTTTCATTCCTTCTTTCCATTCGTTCCAACTGGATTCACTTCTCCAGCAAGTTATATCCGGAGTTCTCTACACGTACCTTGGCCCTGGATTCTTCATAGACTCAACCCCACCGTCCCACCCCAACCCAGTCGATTCTACGCAACGGGCCTGGCGCAAGGCTGCCGCCCCTACTTGCGCCAGACGCTCCACCGGCGGCTCAGGGGCAACCTGAGACCCATGGCTTAAAGGGAACAGGGCACGTTCTTTTTTCAAGTAGCTACCCCTTTTTTGGGGTTGACCTGTGCTGGCCTCATTTTTTACCATGATCAAAGCGACCTCATTGTACCATGATCAAAGGCACCCCCCCTACATGGTGGTTTAAGGGAACCAACCCCATGTTCTGACTTTGAAACTGCCCAGGAACGTTCAAAACAATGACCCCTGCTGTAGGAGACACAAGCAAAACAACGGATTTGGGGGAGCGCCGTCTTTTTGCGAGCCTTTTTGGAGTTGACAGGGAGAACCCCCCCAAAATCGCGGATTTGAAGGAGTGCCCCTATTTTGAGAGAAACCTAAATAGGTGTGTTTAATAGGTTTCCTATTTCAACTCCCTTTGAAGCAGGACCCAAGCGCTCACCCATGGACAACACACGAAATCATTGTCACGAAACTGAATGGAATCGTTGGGTTCCATTTTTTTACTCTGCAGGGGAATTGCTTGTATCCCACGTCCTCAATTCAGCCAAGTGTCAGTGCCCCATGCAAAGAGGTTCTTCAGTGCCTGGCAGGGCAATGCATCGAGAGCTTGATGACTTTTTTGGGGAGTACATGGCCCTTGCAGCACCGGCCCCAGTACTACATCACTCTCCAAGTCACGCAAAATTGGTCTTTCACATGGGGATATCCCAGTTTCTTGCGTTTGACGACCTCTGAAAAGCAACAAAGGGGGGTTCTTCCGTTTCCCACCGCAACAGGGCAAACTAGCCATCTGAAGCCACAAGGTTTGTTCCCTCCACAAAGGGACATATTGAGGTTCCATTCCACTAACATCCTCAAATTCAACCTCTACATATATATGTTGGTTTCAAGGGAAACTCCACCCTGAAAAGTTGTCAAATGAGCTGCCTCAGGCTACCCAGGGAGGCTTTGGTCCCCGAAATCCAACTGAGGTAGATCTGGAGCAGAAGTGAATTCAACTGGCAGGGTGGATATAACTTGCTGGTGCTCGGCAAATGTGGGAATGAACCCAGGGCCAGGAATCCCCGAATACAGGAAACCACCAGTTGGATGGTTTCTCACTCCCTGCGTCTCTTGCACCAGCACCCACGGAAGCTCCCAGCAGGGCAAGTCTGAGGTCTGCTGGTATATTCCTTCCAGTCCCGTGCCTCAAGGCTGCGGCTGAGGTCTGCTGGCAGGTCTGCCACTGGCAGACCCGGCCTCGCAGGGTCCGCCTTCAAGAGCACCTCGAGTGAACTCTCGGTCGGCTTTGGGGGGTGGGTGTGGGTGGGGTGGGGCAATTTTAGGATTTGACCAGACCCGGCCCATGAAGAAGAGAAGGAGTGGTTGAAGCATCCATCTATTCCCAGGTGTATGGCTTAGGCGGCGGCTTCCCTAACAGTCATGCTCAACCAACCTGAGCCATAGGTTGTTTTTGGCGATTGCAAGCCCAGTTTACTGAGAGACCACCCCCTTCTTCGCCATATACCAACCAAATATGGCTAAACTGGAGCCCGGTGCAGATGAGCCTTTCAAGAGGGTTCTTGTCTCCGCAACCCTGCAACAGAGCCTCAAACGCGAAAATGTCGTTTGAGCTGTAGGGTTTCCTGACAAGGGATCCCCTTCTGAACGGAGAACTTCAAGTCACCATTTCTAGCAGTTCCGCATTTGGTTTACATGCCTTAGGATACTAAGCCCCAGCTGGGCCCCTTTGCCAAGCTTCCAGCGACATGCCGACACGCTCTCAAAAGAAAGCCGCTCTGGCGGCGAACTTGTTTGATGGCCCAAGGCCATGAACCTGACTTTAGCCTTCTTCAAGAAGTCCCCATCCAAACAAACTCATTGCAAGCTACTGCTAGCACGCGGCACCTCCAACTCCGAAATCTCCTGCGCTTCAAGTGAGGTTGAACCCCGAACGCTTTGCCTATCTAAGGGACACACACTTCAGCAAACCTCCGTTCCCACAGCTTGGTGCAATTTCAAGACCGCTTGTCTTGTGGTCACATAGGTCGGTCATGCGATCCCGCCCTGCATGGGAAGATGTGCGACCGTTCCTACGGGCGAGAGAACTTTCGGTCCATCTGTGAAAACTTCCAGACGAAATCCACCAACCGCACCACCGTTCAGAAACCCTGACATGATGATGCCCCTGTAAATACCAACGGACAATGGTTTTCCATCGGTTTTCATGGTTTCTTAGGTGGTGCGAAATGGAGTTCGTCCACCCACAGTAGGTTTGTCCTTTTGACCAAGAGTCACATTGGCCGCTGCCTCGGAGAGGTCTGGAACTCTACAAATTGCGCAGCGGGCCCACTGCCCGAAACATGGCACCAGCCGCGCCTCGCAGGGCTTAAACCAGCCGCGCTTTGATGCCTCGCGGCCCGTGAACCGCAACCAAGTCGGTTTGTCCAGTGGCTAGGGGCTGGCGGGAGGGAGATGCTTAGCTGTGACTTTGGACCAGTTGGCCAGGCCTGGCCAGGGCAAACAAGGCGCCTTGCTTGTTGGTTTCAAAGAGACACATGCCAAACATGAGGGGGGGGTAGGCCACAAGATGCCAGAGGCGTGTGAGGCGGGCTGGCCGGCGACTTGGCAAGTCTGAGGACACAGCTCCTCCGACTTCCTTGGCAGGCCTCAGTCCACAAGTAGAGCTAGTTGCGGAAACACCTGGAAGGATCCCTTCCATTTGAATTTTAGTTGTGCAAAAAAAAGGAAAAACACAAACTACGAAAGGAACCTTCAAGAAATTGACACACCGCAAGGGCGGCTCGATCAAAAAGGATTCCATGCCAAACTCCATCTGCCCAAAATGCCCGCGGGCTCGCTGGAGGGACATGCTTCAAGTAGGTGGCTCCTGCTAAAGTGGCTGGTTTCCCTGGCCCAATAACTTACAACTACCAAAGTCACCCGCTACAAAGTAGGTTGCAGGGAAACCACCCCAGCGACTGACCCATTCGAGATACAGCCGCGGTTTTCCTTTTGAATTCCCTTGAAAACCAATCCAAACTGAAGGACCAACTGCGCAGGACCTCCGGGTTTCCAGGCACCCACCGGCTGGCATTTAGTAGTCGGAGCCAGTGGGCAGGGTACAAAGGCAATCGCTTCTCACCTGCGACCAAAGCCCAAAGCGCGAGCAGACCCGTCAGCGTGCAATCATTTGCCTGTGGTGGGATCCCCCTTGGTTCAAACGCCTTGGAGACCAAACTGCTTTAAGGCCATCTTGACCAATGTCGCTGTGGGTCGAAACCCTGTACCCCTGGTGAACACCAAAGTAGGCGGCACATGGATGTTGTCCACCCCAAATGGAGCCATAGGTTACGCCCCATGGCGATTTCTCCCTCGAGACATGCTTTGGTCCAAGTGCTGAAAAAGTTGCCTTCCATTCCGTGCTGATGACCATTTCACGACATTCATGCAGGTGATCCGTGAAAAGAATGGCAGCGGATGGGACACGACCTCCTTCAAGCCCCTCAAAGGCATTCCGAAAACACCTGAGGGCTCAATCACGTGTATATATATATATATACTGGGCTGCCCTCAGATCCCCCGTTAAAAGCTTAACTTTTAGTGAGTTAAATGGAAACTACCACTAAACACTAAAAGGATCTAACAAGCTAAGGAACGGGATGGCTGGGAGCCACCAAGGATATATATATATATATATGTGTGTGTATATGTGTGTATATATATATATATATATCCAGCATGAAGGGCACTTAATGTTGACCCCGGATTAATAAACCCCCGGTTGATTAATAGGGGGGTGTCCCCTTTTAGTGGGGGTTCATCACTTTTGGGGGGAACGCCCCCCTAATGGGACGGGTTTATTAATCCTGGGTCAACATTACCCCGCAAGAAACCCGGGCCGATCGGATCCCCGCCTGGCTGGCCCGGGGGCATGAAGTACACGCAGCGGTGGCTGGGCGGAGACTTCTCCGAGAGGCTCTTCGAACCTGGCGAGCGGACCGGGGCCAGGCGTCACGGTGTGTCTTTTTTTGGGGAGTACCCGGCTTTTGTGGCTTTCAAGGAAACCAAAAGGAAAGCCAAAGCCAAATTTTAGGGGGTCCTCTGAAAAATGAGTACCATGTTTGACCAGCTCTCGTTGAGGGTGCGATGGCTTGCTTGTGGCTTAAAAATGTAATCAGAACTGTTCACAAAACCTCCTTTGCACTTCCTGGCCCAGTGGCAGCTTCGTTTCACAGTTTCAGACGACTTCTGTCCGGTGGGCGTACTCGAGGGCTTTGTGTACCAATGCTGACCCCGGACAAATGAGCCTCGTGGATTGCTACGCGGTGCTTCCCCAAAATAAGTCAAAGACCCCCTCAAAGATGTGAAACTCCATTCACCAACAACAAGTTGAGGAATCGTGGCTTATCATTGCACTCCGGGACGAACTGGACAACACCAACCCAGGGCAAAATACAACCTGAACTTGCCACCAAAGGCAGGACATCCGACACTATGAATACTGGGACAACACACAAACTGGTAGAGGAGTTTGGCCATCCTCAGCATGATTGTGCTTCTGTGACTCGGTAGCCTGTTCTATTCAGGCTGCTAAGGGCAATCCAACCATGTTAGTGTGTCTCTTGTTGGAGGCACCCTTTTTTTGTGGATTTGACAAGGGCGCCAAGACCATTTTGAGGGGACGCCCCCCTGCCCCCCCCCCCCCTCCCCCCTCCCACTTCCCCCCCCCTCCCACTCCCCCCCCACCTTCCCCCCCATCCCCCACCTTTCCCCCCCATCCCCCACCTTTCCCCCCCCCACTCCACCTTCCCCCCCCCACTTCCCCCCCTCAAAAAAAAAAGGCACGCCCATGAAATGGGCCCAACAGCACCCCATGAAGTTCACCCCGCCTCCGCTGAGCTTCGGTGGCTCGGCCGCTGGCCTGGTCGACTGGTTCGACTGATGGCGACAGGGCGGTCCGGTTTCGGATCCAACGCTAACCTCGACGAAGTTGTGGGTGAAATACGGAAATCCAACCACCAGAAAGCTACAAAAAAAGATCGGGGACTATCTTTGAGTGGGTTAAGGATAAATACGGAAATCCAACAACTGAATGGCCAAGAGCTAACAAGCTAAGGAACCGGATGGCTGGGAGCTACTAAGAAAGCAGGTGTGCACAGTGCACCTCCGGGAAACAGCTGGCCGGTCACAATTAAACCAGGAGTTGGACCGCAAATTTTAGTCCATGGTTCAATTTATCGCAACAGGCCAAATCCTGTTGGAGACGGCCGAGACAAGAGAAAGCCACCAATTTGCGCTTGGAGGGATTCTCATGCCGAACAAGGGCTGAAGAAACACCGCAGGTGAAAGCAGCGTCACGCCGAAACGTTGAGGATGAACTTTTGGCCTTCCGATTAACGGCACGTGAAACAACCACCGCCAAGTCAGAAGCAAAAGCAGCCAAGGAAACGTCAACATTCTAGGGGTACCTTCCCCATTTTTTCCAGGGATCCGAATCTTTTCAGCAAACCATCTTATAAACAAAAAACAGGGGAAACAGATCCGGTGTTTGAAAAGAACGATGGTCAAAAAAAATGGAAGAGGAACCAACCCCTGGAAACATGGTTCTTACCCCGTTCAGTGCGGCACGAGGCGGAACCCGAGCCACCGAGCCCGGAGGAGTCGGGAGCTGGGCGCCCTGCACCTCGGACATGGTTGTGGCTGCTGTGCCTGGCAGGTGGCGTAGGTGGGGTGGGGGACGGGGGGGGGGGGAACGAAACCACCAGATCCCCCCTACCTTAAGGGGAAGGGGGGTCCCCAATTCCATTTATTGAGTCTTCCCCAAGAAAGGGAAAATGGAACCACAAATGGGATTCCAGGGGTCACCCCCTCCCCCAATTCAATTTTTGAGGGGGTGGGGATACCACCAGAAGAAGCACTCACCGTGCAACCAACATGGGTGGTCAACATAGTAAACCAGGAAAGGATGAGTCCGGGGGGTGACGAAGAATGCCAAAAGCAAACAGCAAGGAAACCAAAAAGGTGGGCTTTGGGCAATGAGGCTAGGCACAAACATGTGCGTTGCCTTGACTCAGACTGGCTGAGATCTCGTTCTGCGATCTAATTCGGCCAAGCCACTGTCGATGTCCACGTGCATCTTGGAGACCAGTCTTGCGAAGGCCCTCGCATCTTGCCTCCATTGCTCCTCAACAAGAATGACGACAGTCGCCCCTTTTTGGGGACCTTGCTCGTTTAGCGATTGCCATTGTTGGGCAATGTCCCTTCATTGCACCAAATATACGAGGCAGCGTTGTTTGGTGATTGCCATTGTTGGTGGGGCAATGTCAATCGTAGCACGAACCACCCTTCATTTTGCCCAAGCGCACAACATAAATGGGTGTGGGTCAAAACTAGGTACCCCAAATGGAACCCTGGCAAATGGAAACAAAGACTACAACCTGCGGTGCTCTGGGGGGTTACTTTTGACCCATACCCATATGAGACTCCTTTGGCAAGACCGTCAAAGACCTCGAGAACGCCCAAGCGCGCCTCCTGTTCCTGATCCTCTGGCGGTTGCGCCTGTATCCAATTCCGAGCCAAACCGAGTCGCTTGGATGTGGGCCTGGGAAACAGCCTCGGAATGAAAGGAAAAGGCCTTTGAGGCAATCACGAGGTGCTAAGATCTTCCGCAAAGCCATCCCTCAATCTTCCCGAGTCCACCGAGTCCATACCTTCCCCGCCTGCGAAATGCGAGCAATCACTTGAGACCAGTCCTGCGAGAACATCACATCGACCTGGGACGCTTGAAACAAGCGCCTCGTCAGCTGAAAAGGCTCAAAAAGTCCTGAGATGTTCTGAGTTGCCTTCTGAGCCTGGTAGGCGTGATTGGTTTGTTAGGTTGCGTGACTGCCAGAACTGCAACTTGCAGAACGCTTTCCAAGTTGGGAAATCTTGGCACTGATTGGGCGCTGCTTGAAGCTGAATTGCACCGTTGCGCTAAGGCCGGCACAACTCGCAAGGCCTTGGGGTGAGCGGGGCCGTCGACTGCGAAAGGCGCAATGCTTGGGCTTGGGCAATCTTTCGTTTGGGATCAAAACGGTGAGCCAAGCAGGCGGTCGTTGACCATTCGGCGGAGTCAGAATTGAGAGCCAGACCGTGTGCGGCAGCTTGCCCAAGCCGTATGGCAGCTCGCCTTCCTTCCTAGGCAAGTCTGGCAGGGCAATCTAGCGAAGACTGGCTCAGCCCTCTATCTCAGGTTCTTACCTTTCCCAAATCCTGCTACCAATCCACCATACACCGCTCAAGACATATCTTGGTTCCAAAGTTCCTAGGTCCTATGCCTGGGAGGCCGGCCTCTTACGAAAAGGTGGCATCCCCTAAACCCCCAGCGTGCTTGGCTGCTGGGCTTTTGTGGCGACGCACGCGCACCTAACTTAAGAACAGTGTTGCGCTGGTTGCCCGGAGCCCCCAGTGGGCCCAGGGCGAAAGAAAACGAGGTGAAACAGGAGCTGGCCTGAACCTGCGCCCTCGGCAGGATCGGAATCCCAAACTCATTCCAGTGCCTTGAAGGCCACCAAAACGCGGCAAAACCTGCGGAGATCTGATGGGAAGCCAAAAATGCACAGAACTCCCAACTCCTGGCGGAGGGCGCAGGGCATTCCGAGTCATTCTGGCTAAGCCTCTGTACTGTGGCAGACTTGCTAAGCGGAGGCAAGGCAAGCCGAAAGGAAGGATTCGACTCATCCCATCTTCGTATTGAACGAAGTCTGTGGTAGATCCTTCCCTTCAGCTTTATTGAAGCCGTGGCCACAGCTGCTCGCTGCCAAGTCCCTCACGGAATAGATGGAATAGGCCTACGTTTATTGCCAGTTCCCCAGCTTTGCGCCCATTCTCGGGCCCAAGGGTTTTCGGCCATCTGTCAATAATGAGGCCTAGCAAGAAAGTCTCGTCCAAAGTCAGTGTTACTTGCTGAGGGGGGCACAGCGAGCAGCCTCGACCTCACGATCTGGCCGATGCGCCGTGCCTGAAGCCCAGAGCTCTGAGGCGTGGCAAGTCGGAAAACCATGAACTGACCACTCGGCCGGTGTCCAGCACACGCCAAAGGCAAGCGACAGTAAGGTCTGCCCCAGAAAAGCGAGACAATAGCCAGTCTATTTTGATACAATGACCACCCGTTCATCATTCAGCGCTTGGTAAGTTTACAAACCTTACCTCACTTGGGCTTGCCCCTTGTGGTCAGGCATCACATACATTGGAAAGGGTATATGTCATGCTACAAAGCAAAAAAGAGCCATGAACTCAGCACATCGGCTGTGCCCCTGAAGGCACCATCCGCAAGTGCTGAGTCAATTTCAAAAGGCCATCGCCAACTGACGTGTTGCCCCCGCGCAACCCACAGTTTGGCACCAGCCACTTTGGCACAGATCGGCCTACTAAAAGAGGTAAGGTCCTGCGAAAGATGCAACGCTTGTGCTTGACTCGCCGTAGAGATCGCCTGCCCTGCGTCCAACATTGGGCCACGAGCGAACAGCAAAGACTTTTTCCATGCCACCATTGGTGGAGGGACTAGTATCCGTGCCAAGCAGTTGAGACATGCTCAAAACACCTTTGACAGTAAGCCCGTTTCCTTGTTCAAGGGTCTGACTCTGGCAAGGTCGAAAGCGCAGATCAACTTGTCAACCTCCGCATGGCTGGAGCTGGGCAGGATTCTCCAAATGAACCCCCCAGGGCTGTGTCCCCACTGGACTCCGGGGCGTGTGTCAGCATGGCTTCCATGCTTCTGCCTCATCTCGGCGTTCCTCAGCCACCAGTGTGCACTGCTGTGTGCTGCTGCTCCCTGCGTGCTTGCGATAGCTTCTCCGTGTGCAAATGGCACAGCGCAGGGCGCGAAACGAAGGCGGAAGGAAAACGAAACCAACCATCCCCACGCCGATTTGTTTGGCACAAACGCGCAAGCACATCCCAAATGAGGTGTAAAAGCGCTTCACATGGAACCTAACAAAAAGCCCGAGTTTCCGCCGGAATCTTGAATCAAAAGGAGGATCCTTGTTCCGTTGTGTTTGTGGTCCCTGAAAATCTGCAGGGACACTGCCTCAATGCAGCTTCGTATCGCACTGGAGGAGAACCTCAGCATGGCAACAAAGGCCGATGAGGCTCCATAGGGGTCGGTCTTACACTCAGGCACCCCCTGTTTGGTATTTGGCTAATCTGGCGGGGTCTCGAATAGTTTCACCCAAGGTCGACTTTGAAAAAGGGAGGTTCCCTTGAAGAATCAAACCCAGGTCTAGCTTGGCAAGTCAAATAGTGGTCCTTCGTTTTGCTGTGTCGAAAGGCGCAAAGGCCGCCCATTTTTGTGCTTGCTTCCTTGCTTTCTCGCTTCCCATGGGAACGTGTTTGGTCTTCTTCTTCTTGTTTTCACAAAAAGGAAGAAAACACAATCCAGCGGTAAACAAAGAAATCCTCAACTCCTACTGTGGATGGACGAAATGCATTTCGCACCACTTGGAAACCATGGGAAACTGGTATTTACAGGGGAAGCATCCGAAACCAGGGTCTCTGAGGTGGTGCGAAGTGGATGTCGTCCCTCCACAGAATGGCACCTCGTAACAAAACACGCGGACCAGAAAGGCCAAGGCCCAGAAAAGGGCTGCAGGCTCGTGCCGAGGGGCTAACGTACTTCCGGCGGCACAGGTCCTGTGGCAGCCACGGTGCTCGCTGCGCAACGGAACCACCCATTTCAAGCATTCAACGCCATGCGTACGGCGTGTGGACACGTGTGTGGGCCTTTGAGTCGCTGTTTCCTGTCATTCACTCATGGCTACCCCTGAATGACTGGGTATGACTCCGTTCTACGAACCAAACACGCTCTCTCTGCCAGTAAAGTCGGATGAGTCGGTTGGCTAATGTGAAGTGACCAACACAAAGTACCGAGTTTTTGGGGTCAGTCCCGCGAAAGTCCACCAAAACCTCGCTGCCGCCAAGGTGCTTTCCGCTTGGCACCCGTGTCTGCGTGACCTTGCTGACATGCTTTCAGGTGCATTGCTGATAGCTGCTAAGACAACGTGGGCATTTCCATGCCACAGATACGCTGTCTTTAGGTAGTAGTGACCGGCATCCTTCACCCCAGCCACAGCATGCAGCACGTATTTGCCCCGTGTCGCGCTCTGAATGCCGCCGTGGTTCCGTTCGCCGCGAAGGGTGGCCGGGTCACGCGCGCTGGAGAACGCGAGACCCTCGGTGCAACACTGTCTATAGGGAAGGAGTGCACATTTCAGACTGCACCGGCTTCCGCGCTTCCGCGCTTCCGAAACTGTCACGCGCCGAGCGGCGGGGTCGCACATGGAGTCGTAGTGCTGGGCGTCTTCAACGTGCTTTCTTCAACGCCTCGGCGCTCGAAAGCGTTTCGGCGCTGATCGGGAGCTGCGAAAACCGAACCCGAAGGCCGGGGTGCGGCGTTCTTCTTCTTGCTTTTCCCTCAGCTCCTTCATATCTCGCCGCACCGCTGTGATCCTGGGCTTGCGGAAGGCCACAGAAGCCCTGAAGCTCTTTGGACACCCGACCCAGTGAAAGCTTGACTCACTTTAGCTTAGTTCTCAGGAAATGGGGGCATGACCCACGAGTCATTCCGGCCTTTCTGCGGTCGCGACTCGAAACGATCCGCTCTTCATGCTCTTGATGGATTCTTCCAGTCACCGCCTGCAGTACCTGCACAGCTTTGCGCAACAAGTTCAACTTCTGCAGGTTGCCACGCACATCGCAAGTAGGCCGCCGCTTACAAAAGGGACTTCTTCAACTCTGGGTTTCCCTTTGGCTCGCCTTCCATATGTTCAAAACGTGTCCCCCCCCCCCATATAACTCGAGCCACCGTTTAAACCCCCCAAGCCCCCGAGCCCCCGAGTCTCCCGCCGCATCCGTCTCGGAGCTCACGAGCTCTCGCAGCCTGGGGCTTTCTCACAGGGAGCTCCTCTTGGTTTGACGTGGGAAGGGGAGCAAAAGAAATAACTTTCGGCAGTTCAGTGGTGGGATTTCAACCACTGAGCCACAATAAGCGTTAACATGTAAAACATGTGTCCCAAGAATAACCATGTCGTTTCCCGGAAGAGCGAAAGGACTTCAAGGCTGGGAAGCTCTTTGTGACAAACGATTTTCTTTGTGACAAATGATTCATAAATAGCTTGAAACTGACGATTTGGTTCATCAGTGGACATGAACTAGCATGAAACCGACGATTTGGAGGAGCCTTCGTTTACGCTCATGCGCTGCCTCGAGGAGAGAACTTGGTTTGAACATCTGTGCCCTTGTGAGGATAGCTGTCATGAGTCAGGTTTCCAACATGTGCGACCTGCTGCAGCATGCTTTACCCCATTGTGAATGCAACCGACTGTTTACAAGCAAGCCACTAGCAAGTGACAGAAACGAGCAAAGCGGCGAGTTCAAAGCTGAGCATGCGGCTGTTCTTCTAGCTTGATGAAGGCCCTGGAGCCGACCTAAGCAAAAGCACGCACGCCTGGCAGCTCTGCACAAAAAATGCTAACTGAGAAGTCTTCCGGCCAAGCCTTTGCCTTGATCTCTCGTGGCCTTCTTGTTCTGGGACGGCCGGGGAGCAGTACTGAAGAGAAAACAGCGTCAGTTTGCATCGCCAAGGCACGTCGGCATTCTTTGCCAGCTGCCTTTGATGGCGCGTGATCAACATCCAAGCGATCAGATCGCCCTAAAGGGAAGCTATCTTGCATGCCCACCCTCAAAGTTCCATGCCGGTTCGCGGTGCAACACCACTAGCAGGCACCCCAGCAAATTTGGGGGAAGGTCAGGCCTTAAGGGTTCCAAAAATACTGTGGATGGACGAAATCCCGAACCACCTAAGAAACCCTGGAGAGGACCCCCCTGTACATACCAACGAACAATGGTTTCGACCATGGTTTCGCAGTGCAGGATTTGGTCCATCCACAGAACGTCACATCACGCCAACACTTGGAGCCTCACATGCCACCAAGACTCTTAAGCTCAGCCTCCAACCTGAGACATATCGAAAATGGCGCGCCATGCTCACTGCCCTGCCCGCCATTCAAATTCTGGCCCGCGCTCTTCAAGCCAAGCAGCATTGCATCCTGCCGCAAAGGCAGGAGTCACAGCGTTAGTGGCCAACCACAAATGCAACATGTTTTACCAGCCCAGGACATGCTTTGGTCATCAGAAAGGCA